TATTTTTTTTAAATCCCCTTCACAACTTTTTCTTTTACTTTTCTCTTTTACGCTTGCTTAGTTTCGTTTTGTATTTTTATTTGCTTTTCCATGCAAAATGAAATGGAGACGCCATCGGTTTGAAGTGAAGAAAACGTTTTGCTACGCGTTGAAGGAATTTCAAAATATTTTCCAAATTCACTTTCATCGAAGGAAGAAAATGGTCCTTTGAATAATTTTAAACTTCTTTTTTTTTTTAATATACATATGATGTACTTTAAGATGATTCACGAGATGGACGGATTTGGGTTGAACACTTACGGAAGGTGCTTCTATGGTCGTTAAAAATATATGTCATTCAGGATAGCATTACAAAATATCATCAACTCTTTGCGGAAAAGCGTTTATTGCTGTCAGATGCATTTTCGTACCAATATATCAAAGCAAAATATTAAAGAAACAGATTTCTTAGCATTTTTGCTTCTTTGGTAACATTTAACATTTCTTAAAAGAATAATTCGCACTGATTATGACGAAATACTACAAATGAAAAAAAGTATGCACATTCAGTTCTCGTGTGTAACTTTCGATCAAAACAAGAAATTATTGAACAACTACCGAAAATATTGTTGAATAAAATATTGAGAAGACCTGTGATTATTGTACCATGACTTTCCCTTTTAAATTAATCACGTAATAAGAACAACACTATTCCTACGAAACACGATGTTACTCCAACACATAACGAAATGCTAAAACGCTGTATAATCATTTTCGCAAATCCGCAAAGATTTCGTTTAAGAGATCCCGATTTATATCTGTTATCTGATATCTGTTGTAATAATCTTAATAGCTCTAGTAACTGGGCTTCACCTGGCACAACTTCGCTTGCTTTGCTTTCATTGACATTTTTCAAATTTTGCATTAAATCATATAAGGGTTCGGCAAGCTCCACGAGTTTGCCTTCTTGGGCTTTTATTAGCATTTCTTTGTAGAATTCCGCCGTCATACTTTTCCCGCTTCTTCGCCCCCGGGCTATTTTCCAATAAATAAATAATAATAAATTCCAATAATTAAGATAAAATATTTATATGTGTATCTATTAAAGAACAACGAAATACGCATATACATACTAAAGTAAGAAAATTTTCATTCTGATTTTCGAGACTAATTTTCTTTAAAAAATATTTGAATTTTGGACTTTCGAATATAGAAGTTATCGTTTCAAACACACATATTCTAATTTATCTAAATTCTAAGAAAAGATTTTTTCGTCAATATTTGAAAAATTGTCGGTAAAACGCCAGACTTTCGTTGTGTTGATTTTATCTTTGCCAACCCAAAGTACCTACATATGTAACGAAAATATTACCAAAAACATACCAATATACCGCAACAATAACCGCCTTTTGACTAAGATCACTTAACCGCGCTCCTGAAAATACTTATGTGTACCCAATTCTTTAAGGACAAGATTTTGTAAACATTTTCATGCCATCCGGATCGAAGAATATCTGGCCCATACATACAAAACCCGCATGCATTTACTTCTATTGTAAACGTAGTATAAGTGTGTAATATTAGAATATATGTAGTATGTAACTCTGTGAAATAAAGAATGATGGCCGGCAAGTTAATTTCCGGTACAGCCAGAACGAAGACTGTCGTGTTTTATAATTTATAAAATATATATCCTTCGCTATTATCGTAATACTCGAGATAAAATGCTTCAGGGGTTGGGTCTACCCTTATATAAACGAAGTATCAAAGATTTTGATTAAAATAGCTAATCCAAGGCAAGAATTAATAAATGTCTTGATTGATGCGTACGTGGATTTCCCACCATTTGCCACAACGGGCCAACTCCGTAACTTGGTAAGAAACGTGGTGGGCTATACTACGGAAATTGCCGTTATTGATGATCTTGCTGCCGATAATGCTGCTGCCGCCAACAAGAATGCTGTTGGTAGTGGGTGCTGATATCAATGCCGGTCCACACGTTGGTTCGAACACTGCCAATATTCCGAAAATGCCGACTGTAAATACAACCGCCGTTAATGTCCCGTCCTACACTGCTGTTGCTTCCACGAATTCCGCTACCGCCACCACCAATGCCGCTGCTGCCTCCACCAATGCCGCTGCTGCCACCATCTATGTCGCTACCGACCCTCTATTTGCCACTGCCGCAAACAAGTTCGACGAGGAGGTGCTCGCCTTAAAAAAGGCTCGAGATACTCCAACTGGTGCAGAATATTGAGGAACTGGACAGCCGCTCTACAACAAAGTGCCAACGCAAGCTGGATTTTGGAGATATCGAACACGTGTTGCCGAAGTTCAGTGGTGACGATGTAGGTTACCCTGTCCAACACTTTATAACGGATTTTGGGGAGATAATAGAGTCAACGCAAGCAGACGAAAATTTTAAGCTTCTCGCTCTCCGACGATCCCTTAATGGAACGGCAAGGGTATTCCTATCAACGACAACAGCCCTAAATTATAGTTCCCTTAAGAGGGCTTTAATCAACGAATTTAATTTTTCAGTAACAAAACAAGAAATATATAAAAGGTAGTCACAGCGGGGATGGAAGAGGAAAGACGAGTCCCTCCATTGCAGAGGGCAGACATTGCCGAGCAAGAGGTGGTGGATTTCGTTATAGACGGAATCGGCAATACCGTCCGAATTCGCACCTGTTGTTATCGACTAGAAGCGTCGATGAACTAAAAGCTATAATCAACAGGTACCAAAATAAGTACGTTGCCGTTGGTTGTGCCGCAGTCAAAAATCAAAAGACGACTCCGGCAGTGGTGAAGCCGAAGACTGAGCAAAAGTTGTGTTACAGCTGCTCGCAGTTTGGTGTGCTTCAGGTGTTGGAAAACGGGACATGACCATAGATCGTGTCCCTAAGAAGGTATTAAAGCGGAAAGAAGATATTGCTGCCGTTGCCGAATCCGATGAAGACGCTGACGTGGTCGGAGCCTACAACCATGTAGGCATACAGTTTAAGTTATTTAAGGGAGTAGTCTCTAATTTAATCTTTTCACTTTTTGATACCGGTAGTCCGGTTAGTCTCATCAGGAGGTCGGTCGTCCCAAAAAAGCAGGCCGGAAAAATTTGCAAGGGTTTCACCCCTAAGTACAGAGGAGTTGCCGGTGGTGTTTTGAAAATTATTAATACCATTAAATGTAACATAACATTTCTGAATAAAAAAAACGTATCATTGAATTAAAAGTAGTCGACGATAGTTGTATATCTTTGCCGCTTATTTTGGGACGTGATTTTCTACAATCGTTTAATATAAGATTAGTTAAAGTAGACAATGATTATGCTAAGAAGGAAATACCAGAACTTAACAATATAGATAAGTCAGATAATCCAGTAAGTGTTACCAACTTCAGCGGGGCCTTTTTTAAAGGGTCGCCGGGTGATAATCATAAGTGCCGTGACGAGATATGTTTTGTGTTAATTTATCTACAGAAGAAAAATGCATTGATAGAGATCCAAAGTTGTCAAGGGAACGAAACGAAGATTTAAGACAGAGGTGGGCAGCTTCGACAGAGAATTGTTGTAGTGTGCGAGAAATTGATGTCACTGTGTGCGTGCGAACAAGTCGTGCGGTTGAATGAAGCTTTCACTGCCTTCTAAAGCAGAGCATGTATGTATACGCGAATATGGCCGCCGGGCCAGGTCTGATTTAAGACAACTTATCGAATGTACGTACTTAAAGATGGATATCAAAGTTTAACCGTTCATGTATGAAATGAAAATACATTTAACGACTGACGTTCCGTTTCATTGTGCTCCTCGATGGCTTTCTTACAAGTCTAGTTTAAACTATTTAAATTTTTTTTATATATATTGTATAGTCAGTCCATGACGACCTCATTGTCCCAAAATTATTTCACTCATACTATGATTACATCTGTATACCGTTAGTATAGTATGGCAAGGGCGTAACTCACATCGTCGTAACTAAAATTTTGTATTGCATAAAACGATGTGGGGACTTGCAGCATAATCAATCAAAAAGAGAATTTTGATTTTTAGTTAGTTACGGCTTTTTGTATTTCAGCGACGATGTGAGTTACGCCTTTTCCATACTATACTAACGATATGTAACAGGAAATCTTGTATAATAAGATAATGTGAAATGACTACATACTTTTTTCTGCGTTTTTAACAAACATTTTGTAACCTCTAAATTATGTTCCCGTTTCAGTTTTTGTTAAAAATATACTTAGTTTTTTCGATTACAAAATGTTTGGAAACATTTAGAATAGACTTGTTATTGTTAATCTAATATTTTCTAATGCTCACATTCTGTGATTTAACCATAAAACTTACGTGGAAATGATAGAAATTATTTCGTACTTACATCCTTCAGAAGTTTCTAATGATTTTTGTATGTCCCGAATTTCATTTTCCTTGTGATGAAGCTCATGCAATGCAGAATCACAGCGGTTACGGCTCTCACGAAGATCCCTGAGTGAGTTATAAGATAACCATTTAAAATTTGATAACATTTAAATAATTCACATACTAAAATACTAACTTTTGAGTTGCAATCAATTCTGCTCGCGTTCGGCTTAGTTCTTCCGAAATAAGTGTTTTTGCCTGAATCTCAGCCTGAAGTGAACTCTGCAAATTCAATAACTCCATCTTATCGAGTTTTTGTGAACGTCTATTACGCCAATTTTTCGTATCGTAGGTTTGTTGAAATGATCCTATTTGTGCATACGCATATATATCTGTTAATATTTGCACTGTATATTTTCTAGAAATGACATTTTAGTGGAACATTTGTATGCATGATTCAATAATAAAAGGTTTGCTCACTATAGTGACAAAATCCGTAGGAGTATCTCATTTTCTGTACCGATTTTTTAACAATCTTCAAAGAAAATTGTATGAAGTGGATGACGTAAAGAAATTTCTGTACGAAAAATAAGGAAAATTCAGAAAAAAATCTCCAAGAAATTCTTCACATAGCATCATTGCTTTACCGATTTTCTTCGGAAAATTCGTTGAAGAATTGAAAAGCGCACAATTTTATTTCATTTTAGAAAAGTCGGTGAAAAATCGGATGAGATCTTTACGAATTCTTTAAAACTTCTCTACAATTCAGAATACTCTGAAAACATGGTTTGTACTCCCGTACAGAAGAGTGCACACACACACAAAGCCATACAGTGCCTTGCTAAGGGAGCCGATTTTGTCAGAAGAGAAAACTGTTTTCGGAGCAAACCTCTTATTATTGAGTCATGATTTGTATGTACCCTTGTGGTCAGCTGATTAAGTTAAGTGACTTTTTGACCAGTTTGGTAATTTTGCTTTAGTCTACACTAGAAAATCGCATTAATTTTTAATATATTTTTTTTTGGCTAACGGTGTTGAACATTTTCTCCCATATAAAGTATGCTCGGCAATATCTTTTATATGGAGGAAAATGCCTAGTAGGTCTGTTACGAATGTGAAATTTTAGACATCCGCGGATGCGAATGTAAAGTATTTTTAAGAAACAATTAGGTAAGTAAATTAAGTTATTTAGGTAAATAAAAAAATTGAAAAGTTAGTAATATTTAATAAAGCTTATTTTATTTACTACTTGAATTTAAAAATTGGAACATTATATTTAATAAAAAGTAATGTGAATTGCATTGGGGCTGAAAATGTCGGATGTATCCTAATGGCTAGATCGTTGTTTTAACAGAGCTTTCAAGCCAAACCAGATGTGTCAGGGTTTTCTAAAGCTTTTTAAAAAGAATTTTTCACTCTCATGCCTTTGGCCCTTTCAGATTTTGAATAAAAATAATTATTCATTCTCATTCCTTTGGCTGTTTCAGATTTTGGGCAATCTGTAATTTCATCAGCGTTTTTCGATTTTAGTTTTTGTAATTCATTTTTAATACTTTCTTTTGCGACTGATTTGAAAAATGTGTGCTTATAGCGAACTAAATATGTGGATATGGAAAATAAATTATTATTTTCCAGGAATGAAAATTTTGAACAAAATTCTGTTTTCAAAGTCGTGGCTGTCAGCCGAATCGGATCAGAAAAAGTATTGTTATCTTTTTTAAAAAAGCATTATTGGAATCATGGATGATGAGGGTCTCAGACACTTACGTAATTCTTACCTAATTAAAGATCCGACCTATATGTTTTTAGTTATTTGAGCATCGATTCTGTTTATAGCCAGACGTTGACCATTTCTGCTGGAAATCTCTATTCTAGGAGCTTAATATTTGACTTCAAATAGCAAAGAAGGGAGACGTAGGGGCAGTTTTACCACAGAGGCTTTTAGCCAAGGAGCCAAAGTATATATTTCCCTATGAAAAAAATATTGCCCGACAAGTAAAAAAATTACTGTTTTTTTTTAACTTTTGCTAAAATTGAATTCCCCAAAGAGCCCCATTTGATTTGATTGAAACTTTCTTCTTTATGTTTAGTAGTTTTTTTTTTAAGATTGGCCCAAAAAAAGTATCAATAAAGAAAGGAACCAATACAGGCATTTAAAGAAGAGAAAACAAAAAAATATATGTTATTAAAAGTACTCTGTTCTCTTTGACGTACGCCTAGCTCGGTTATATAGCTTAAGAAATAATCAGCCTCATTGAGTAAGTCGTAAATTAGGCTAAATTGTACGACTCAACAACATTGGCATTGTCTACTGTCATGCTGAAATAAGTAAACGAAGAAAATCGTCGAAAACTATACAGTGCTACCAAGATTTTCCGTTTTAATACACTAGTCGAGTGGAAATTTTCGATACGATTCGACTCTCGAAAAACGACTTGTTCTCGTCACGACTCTCGCGAATATCTTTAAAGAAATTTTTGTCAAAGTTGATAAAATTATACATTTGACCAGTTTTGTTACACAAATGCTCCCACGACCACAGGCAAAAAATATTGGCTACAATTTGTAATTTCGTTTGCAATATATACGTTTTATCTGTGCACTTGCGGAAGCTCCGCAGTTGCGAATGCGAATGCGAATATTCGCAACAACCCTGATGCCTAGCACCATCAGCCAAAAAAATTATTGAAATACAACGCAATTTTCTAGCATTTTAAAATTTGCACTTTAACCCACTCAAATGGGCTATAAAACTGGATACCTAATTTTTAATAAAAAGTTTAAAATTTTTGGGTGTAATTGTTAAAGTTTGTTGAATTTTTAAAGTTTTTCTAATAAACATAAACATTAAATAAACAAACGAAAAATTACCATAAGTGGTCAAAATGTCACTTAGCTTAATCAGCTGACCACAAGTGTATGCATGTAGATAAAACTAGGGGATCCAAATAAAATTAATCAACTTTGTAAGTCACGAAGACCCTAATATAGATATGCACATATGTATGTACATATCTGTGGTCGTATGGAATAGTAGCTTATGTCGGAAGGCTGGCTTTAGTATAATGCACTATTCCCTCCATTATTTAAACAACAAGGAATTTTTTGATGAGACTTAATAAGAACATTGATTTGCTAGAATCGGAACCATTTCTCTTACGTTTATTCGCCAAGAGTTCTTCAACGGCTCGGCTACTATTCCATACGAACACAGATATGTATCTATCCTGCTGGGGTCGTAGTGCGCATCTCTGACCACGGCGGCAACTTTAAATATATACATTATTTTGTTGACAACGGACGATGAGCATATCATAAAAAAAAAAAAATACATTTTGACAGGAAAAAGTTATTTACCTGAGTGTTTTAGATATTCAACTTCTTCAGTCATTTTGGTTGCTAAAGCTTGTAAGTAGCTTCGAGCATCTTTTTCATCCGATACCCACTGTATTATTTCCGACATCTGACGTTCCCATTGCATAATTGCTTGTCGTTTTGACCTAAATATTATATACATACATACATACATATATTTGAAAAAAGCCAACTATTTTGCGAAGCAACTAAATACTTGAACATAGATTATTTAAACTACGCTTTTATGTACCCACGTATGTACGTGCAATCAATGAGAAGAGTACCTTAATTCCTCGCTATTGCTTTGATCTTCGACTTGTTTTGTTTGTAGTTGCCTTATGGCTTGATTTAAATTTTCCATTTCTGATAAAAGCCTTCTTTTTTCCTCTATCCAAATGCTTTTTTCTTGTTCGTACATCTTTTTTTGCTCACTTAAAGTGTCCACAGTATCATTTTGAGATTCTAATCTACTTATATCACACTTTTCACGAGTTTTTTGTAGTTCCATTATTAAGAAATCTCGATTCTTTTCCGATTCCATCAGCTGTTCTCGCAGCTCTGATATTTCCATGTTATAGCGCGTTTGCTGCTGATTTAGTTTTTCAGAATATTGGACTTCTATTCGTTCGATTTCATATCTTGAGGGTTCATTGGCTGGAAAGGCGGAGCTTGTATCTGAATTACTTTTACTACGCAATTCTGATTGTAACTGGCGACAAAATTCCTCAGAGCGTTCCCTTTGTTTCTTCTCTTTTGCCGCATCCGTCATTGCATCCTCCACTCGTAGCTCAAGCTCCCTCCGATTTTTATCAGCTTTTCGAAGATCGTTTCGAAGGCTGTCTATTTTTTTCATAACCGCTTCAAGTTCTTCCTCTTTATCACGAACCTGTTAAATAGCAAGAAATTCTGTTTCAAACCCATCATTTCATGCATTTTTTAGTTTTTCTGCTAATAATGTCTATAACTTTAACCATTTGAAATCGAATTTAAGTAGATGTCTTCTAAAAAAAAGAGTGTCGCACATTCCACGACAACTATTTTGAAGACCTCTGACGGTCTCACGATTTTTGTAATTATCTACGGCAGGCTTTCCCAAAGTGGGTGCCTAGGGTGCCGCTAGTGGCGAGAGTATACTAGTGGTGCGGGCAAATTCTTTAAACTTCTCATACACAACGCAAGCGGTTTGTTCAAACTTCAACATGGCGGCTAGAAAATAAGAAAATTTTGATTTTTATTAAAATTACCTTCAGCGGCTCGTCAAACCCCATACACAACACAATTGGCTTGCAGCAAAGGGATATTTCGCTTGGTTTGTCAAGCTGCTTGTGTGGTGTATTTCGCTCTTAAGCGTAGTTCCCCAGTACGTGTTGTCAACGAAAAAATCAATCAGAAAATTTTCAGAAAAATAGCCGAAAACGTACCCTTTTCATGAAAGCAAACTTATAAAAAGTTTGAAAACTTATGAATTTTTTAGTTTGCAACTTGACGAAAGTACCGACGTAGTGGGACTTAATGTTCTTCTCGTGTTATCGAAGAAGAACTTTTGATGAGCGAAGTGCTTACACCACTAGCGACGAAATTTTTAAAGCTATCGACAAATTTGTACAGAAAAATGGTTTGAAATGGAGCAAGTGTGCGGATATTTGCCGCCACTAGATTAAAAACCCGTATTGGATGACGCTGCGAAGATAGCAGAGGCCTGCGAAATTAAAATACATCTTTGGTTTTTCTAGCACGTCGAGATTTTTTTATTGGTGACATGTATATTTTAGAATTTCTAGCAATTTACATGAAAACCCCATAAATAAACAAAGTAAATCAGAAAAACGTACATATGTAACTTCGAAGTTAACGCTAAGAAAATGGATAACAGCCGGTTTCACCAGTAATTTAAATGGAAAATGATTTTTTATTTTCTGTCAATTTCCTTATAATATTCAAAAAATTAAAATCATTTTTCACTTAAATTGCTTTTGTGAAATTGGCCGTAAACGTTATTTTCTTAGCGTTAACGTGCATTCCCATCGTTAACTTGGAAGGTCTGACTCTGAGGATGTCTACAGCTTGATAACAAACCCGTTTTCATGTGACCCGAAAAGTAAACCTACTGAGATGACAAACTAAGCTTTTGAAAACCTTCTGGACATCAGTGAAGACAGCACTTGGAATATTAAATACTACGGAGGGAGCCAAGAGGGTTCTGGATGCAAGTGTATGCAGAAAACACTACTGTTGGCAAGATTGCATTAAAAATACTAGTGAATTTTACTTTTACATTTCTATGTGAGACTGTATTTTCAACAAATGCTTACATAAACAAGTCATTTTTAAGCAAAAAAAACCGACTTCAATTCCCATATAAAAATGTAAGTTTATCGTTAATCTCTTTATGATCCAATGATCGGATTTGAACCAAATTAGAATGTGAGGTGCCACCTTTCTTAAAAAAAAAATTATAGTAATCGGTTAACATGGTACAAAGTTATGCGGTAGCATACATAAAAAAAAATAATAATAATAAAAAAATATTCCGACGAATTCCGACGACCAGCAAGCTTTCAGCGTCAGGACCATAGCAACGCGAGAAGGATATTCGCGTTCGTTTTAAATAAAAAACACTTGCGTTTTTTAATAAACGTTTTATTAAAAATTATTGAACTTGGCTTGGCTTATTACATAAACATATTTACGTATATCGTAGTTCCATACATACATTTGTAATAAGCCAAACCAAGTTCAATAATTTTTAATAAATAAACATTTATTACGTTTATTAAAAAACTCAAGTGCTTTTTATTTAAAACGAACGCGACGATTCTTCTCGCGTTGCTAAATGGTCAAAATAGTCAAGGCTCCCAATAAACTCAAAGGAAGTAATGAAATCATCAGAACAATTTCAGTCCTCACATTAAAGCTAAAGGAACATAAAGTTTGCATTGTGTTTTCTTGTTTTCGTAGACATTTGAAGAGTAGGGGTGCCGCGAAATTTTTTTTAGCACAACAAGAGTGCCGCGGTGAAAAAAAGTTTGGGAACCCCTGGTCTACAGTTCATATGTGTAATTCCATGATGTCGGACGTGACATTCGTACGACTCTAGAGTTAAATAAATCGTTAACGAAGCCACTTATAAACAAAATTTACCGTTGTGTAGCAGTCTTTTGGCTGACAAAAAATTAAGTGAGCTTGGAACACTGGTGTCGAGAAAATCGAAGAAAAGGAGGTCGTAACGGACGTGACAAAAACACAAGTACATGTAGAAATAGCAAAACTCTGCGAAACCTGTGAGGGTTTCCTTTCTTAAACATTCTTTAAATAAAGTCAAATTGCGGACCATTACAACCAATACATTTGGTTTAATTTTGAATTAAAATGTGGTAATGGACGTGACAGATTTTTTCCCTTACAATATTTTTATTCGTAATACATATGTATGTATATGATTTAATATTTTATTTAATTTCTTCAGTTCTTTCCTCCATCGTTTTGCATTTCCATAACCTTTTTTCATCATCTGATTACGAAATTTTAAGTTATAAAGCCGTTTGAACTCATTTACTACCATATTCGGTTTGCATTTTAATGGAAACACCCATATGTAAGTACATGGAATATTCAATGCATTACGTATTCGGCTTGATTTACATACTAATATTCAATTTAGAATTTATTGTGAAGTTAAAGTGAACATACCTGTCGTGATAGTTTTTGTTTTTGAGAACGTAATTCGGATAATTTGTCGGTAACCTCTGCGTATTCCATCATCGCCAATTTGCGTTGGCAAATTGCATCTTTCAATTCAGCTTCTTGAGCCTTTATTCGATCTAGCGCTTCGCTGTACTCTTTTGTTGCATGACCCTTTTCCCGCTTCACATCGTTCAACTCTTGTTCCAACTCCTTCATTCGTAATAAATATGAGGCGTTACATTCATCGGAAGTTGCTTTCTCGATAATTTCGAGGTTTTTTAATTTATGCTCAAGTTCATAGTTTTTCTTTTTCAGCGTATTTATTTCTTCAATTAGATTACATTTTTCATCCGTGATTTCAAGGTTCATAGTTCTATCTACATCGTTATTAAAATTGCTACAAGCATTTTCTACTTTTCCTAAATCCGATAAAGAACTACATTGCGTGAAAGTGAATCCAATGAATGGTAAGTGCAGGCCAGAAAAGGCAAGATTTGCTGCCGGTGGCATAGTGTCCGATAAATGTATGTCAGTGTCATCTACATCGAAATTGGATGTATCCGTTGGACTTGATACTTCGGGTATATAGGGAGCCTGGCTGTATCTAAGGCTATCCCAATCTAGGCCAGCAAACCATGGATGACTTTTGAAATCATCAGTTCCATTTTGCCCCAATCGATTTTCAGGTGCACAAATGAGTTTTCGCATCAAATCTTTTGCTGCTTCCGACACAATATAGTCCAAACTCTCTTGTGGCGGAAAATCGAAGCAGTTTTGATGATTCATTATCTTTCCGTAGGTTTCCACAAGACTTTCCGCATAAAACGGTGTCTCACCGTACAACATTTCATACATACATACACCAAGAGACCACCAGTCACATTCAGCTCCGTATCTACCCTGGCCATCTTCCATTGCTCGGAGTATTTCAGGTGAAATGTAATCGGGAGTACCAACGGCGACGTTAGATTGAACCATACCGTCTGGCCCAATACGCAAACAAGAACCGAAATCAGCTAAGCGAATATGTCCTTTCATGTCGAGTACCAAATTGTCCGGCTTTATGTCTCGATGTACATATTGCAGTTTATGTATGCTGTCTATCGCCAAAATCGTTTCGGCAATATAAAATTTGGCCATATCCTCCGGCAAACGGTCCTCAAATTTACTTAAAAGAGTCAGCAAGTCGCCTCCACAGTAATAATCCATAACAAGATACTATTAAAAAAAAATGTTAAAGAACATTATACATGTGTAGATAGATGTATAGATATCACACACGTTCTTTCCTTAATTAAATTTTTGATATTATGAAATTTCTCAGATCTTATATTTACTATCTTGCAAGAACTTAAAGGGTATTTTGTGGTTAATTGGTATAACAATCACTTGTTCACACTTGCCTGGTTATCAGGTTATCTGGTTAAAAAATATTATTGTGTAGTGTATTTTATTGTTGTAAACTGAATAAAAAATATAACCGCATAACCTGAAAACCAGGCAAGCGTGAACACATTACAGAAACATTTTTTTTTTTTTATCAGATAACTTGTTAACCAGGCAAGCGTGCACAACCACAATATCTCTGAGAACAAACCTACGGAATATTTTTTCAAAAAAGGTTAAATAGGGCCTTCAAACGTAATACATTTTTACAGGTCTATTCTGCACGTTAGCGAAGATTTTGTAACCGGAAAACTTTATTACTAAAAAATGTTACCAGTTCTTGTCACAGCGATTCTAGGTACGTTGGTAATGCAGTTAAAATATTCAGCAATTCAGCTATGAAGAATTGTGGAAATTACCAGCGCAGAATAGACCTGTAGTGAACGTATAACGACATTGTTCCGTGAATTGGCTGAATTACTGAAAACGTGTACAACGTTGCAAATGTATGTTGATAAAAGTGTTAACGACTTTTTTACGTACCTATGTAATTCAATAAACAGGTTTTCTATTATCGAACTTACCAAATTGCTATCATCCTGAAACGCATAATGCAAATTTGTTATCCATTGCCTATCACCATAAACCAAAACATCGCGTTCTTCTCGAAAGCACGCAGTCTCCGCACGCTTAAGCATTTCCCATTTGTTTAGGGTTTTCATGGCGAATATCTGCTGAGTTGCTAGCATGCGAACAACACACACTTCACCAAATGCTCCTCGGCCAATAATTTTGATCGTTTCAAAGTCATCTCTAGATAGTCGAAGCTGCTTAATCAATGTTGCAACTGGTTTCACTGCAATGAGATAAATCAAAAACTGTTTTTTTTTTGTTTTGTGATTAAAATTTATTCACTTACCCAGTTTTATAAAATCGGCTAACGTTTTTTCTCGCCTCAATGATGAATTACAGCACTCATCATACAATACTAGCAGAGCGTCCAGTAATGTCTCAATCGAAACAGCTTTTCCGTCGAGATTCGAAAGGAGTTCTGTCTTTTCTTGCAAATAACTTTTTAGCGTTAGCATTCCATTTGTTATCCCTTTTTGAAATATCAACGACTCCAATAATTTCAATCTCTTGGTAAATCTATTCCCGCTATATTCTTAAAGAAGCCAAATAAAAATAAAAAGTTTAGGTTTACATGCAATTTTATATGTACATTAGACTGCATCACTCCCTATACAAAATAAAATCGGTACTGTTTTTCCATTGGAATTATAAAATCTATTATATTTTAAGACGTCCACCAAAATATTTCGGTAAAATATTAAGATTTAAATAAGCGAGCTGGACCGATTTAAAAATACCTCCAAAAAATGGAGTTTTTTATTAAAGATGTTTTTTGAAAAAATCCCCTCGAATGACAAAACGGTTTAAGCTTAAAAAATTTACATAAAAATATTTAAAAAAGTATATAAAAAAATTTAAACGGAATCATGATAATGAGATTTTTGATGCTATTTTTTAACTTTTTTCAAAGATTGGTGTAAGAAAAGCTTGCATAACTGAACCTAAACTCTTCCGATTTAGACTTGTGGGGTATCATTGGAAAGGGATTTTCTCACCCTTTTTATTTCTTTGATAATAAGCTCATTCAAAGGATAAAAGAGAAAGGTACGATGAACGAACATCATTCAAAGATGAATTAAGATGTGTTGGTATTTGAAAAAATTTGGACGCGAATGACTTTTTTTGCACATAAATAAAAATAGTGGGAAAATAGCTTTCTATCGAGATCCCATAAGTCTAAATCAGAATAGTTTTTGCCGAGTTATTTAAGTTTTTCGTATATCAATCTTTGAAAAAAGTAAAAAAAAAAACACTATTAAAAATGTCATTAAGATTCCTTTGAAAAGATTTTTAAATATTTGTATGCAGATTTTTTAAGCCTAATCTGCTTTTTCATCCAAAAAGTTCTTTAAAAAACTACTTTTATTCATAAAAAAAACTCCATTTTTGGAGGTATTTTCAAATCGGCCCAGCTCGCTTAAATCTTAATATTTTTCCGAAATATTTTTGTGGACCTCTTAGAAAGTTAAGTTTTGTAATCCCGGCGGAAAAAC